ACCATTATTCAGATTAACTCTTTATATAGTTTCTCTTGTGCGATCCCGTCTTTCGGGCTTATTCGTTCTAGAACATTCGTTGACCGGTCTTAACTCATTTGATATCCGGTCTTGTGTGAGACCCTCGACCCTCGAGGTGACTTTACTCGCTGATCGGGCCTTTCGACTTGCAGCCCTATTTATTCGGTTCAGCACAAGGGTCGAGCCCCTCGACCCTTTGGCCTGGTCGATCGCCACGTCGGCTTCCGGTCGACCCGAGGGTCCATGTTCGACCCTCACCCCGTATTCGACCCTTAAACCCGGCTCGACCCTTCCACTCGGCCCACGTCTCTGTTCGACCGTCAAGTCGGTTTAAGTGGGTTATCCCTTAATACCTATCACTACACAAATCCCTTTATGTTTTATGGCATGAAATGCTGCTAATGAGGCTAATTTGATTTAGCCATTAGTATATACTGTCTTGAAAGACTAAGATGAACTATTTATATACTAAGTCGGTCGAGTTGTAATTGACAAACATATTATGACCTTTTGTGACCAAAAAAAAAAAGAAGCATCGTCCCAAAACCCTAGACAATGTTTTGGTGCACCAAGATATTGCCCAAAATCTCAAGAAATCGGTAAGTGTTTTGTCAAATCGATAGAAAGAGATTCAATTACGAGTCTTGCCAAGGACAGATCTGGTATCGACTGGCTAGGAACAAAGGATAAACAATTTCTTGAACATTTGTTGCTCAAGAAACAGGTTTCTTGAGCAAAAAACGAGTTTTTGGCAAGAAACAGGTTTCTTGCTCAAAAAACGGGTTTCTTGGCAAGAAACAAGTTTCTTGAGCAAGAAACTGGTTTCTTGATCAAGAAACCTTTTTCTTGGTAAGAAACCCGTTTCTTGAGCAAGAAACATGTTTCTTTCCAAGAAACTAGTTTGTTGCTCAAGAAACCTATTTCTTATAAACAAGAAACCCGTTTCTTGCTAAAAAAACCCGTTTCGTGAGCAAGAAACATGTTTCTTTTCAAGAAACTCGTTTGTTGCTCAAGAAACCTATTTCTTTTGAACAAGAAACCCGTTTCTTGCTCAAAAACTCGTTTGTTGCTCAAGAAACATGTTTATTGAGCAAGAAAATGTGTCATATTCATATATTTTTGTCCAAACACATCTGAAGGTAAAAAAAAGTTGAAGAAAATATTTGTACTAAAATTTTCTTTTTTATTCATTTATTTTTTCAAATGGACGTTGGTAAAGTGCGAATTGATGTTTCTTGAGCAAGAAACTGGTTTCTTGATCAAGAAACCTTTTTCTTGGTAAGAAACCCGTTTCTTGAGCAAGAAACATGTTTCTTTCCAAGAAACTAGTTTGTTGCTCAAGAAACCTATTTCTTATAAACAAGAAACCCGTTTCTTGCTCAAAAAACCCGTTTCGTGAGCAAGAAACATGTTTCTTTTCAAGAAACTCGTTTGTTGCTCAAGAAACCTATTTCTTTTGAACAAGAAACCCGTTTCTTGCTCAAAAACTCGTTTGTTGCTCAAGAAACATGTTTATTGAACAAGAAAATGTGTCATATTCATATATTTTTGTCCAAACACATCTGAAGGTAAAAAAAGTTGAAGAAAATATTTGTACTAAAATTTTCTTTTTTATTCATTTATTTTTTCAAATGGACGTTGGTAAAGTGCGAATTGATGGAAACTGGTTTCTTGACAAGAAACCCGTTTCTTGCTCAAGAAACCAGTTTCTTGCCCAAGAAACCTGTTTCTTGGTAAGAAACTCGTTTCTTGAGCAAGAAACATGTTTCTTTCCAAGAAACTAGTTTGTTGCTCAAGAAACTATTTCTTTTAACAAGAAACCCGTTTCTTGCTCAAAATCTCGTCTGTTGCTCAAGAAACATGTTTATTGAACAAGAAAATGTGTCTTGTATTCATATATTTTTGTCCAAACACATCTGAAGGTAAAAAAAAGTAGAAGAAAATATTGGTACTAAAATTTTCTTTTATATTCATTTATTTTTTCAGATTGACGTTGGTAAAGTGCGAATTGATGGAAACCAGTTTCTTGTTCAAGAAACGTGTTTCTTGGTAAGAAACCCGTTTCTTGAGCAAGAAACATGTTTCTTTCCAAGAAACTAGTTTGTTGCTCAAGAAACCTATTTCTTTTAAACAAGAAACCTGTTTCTTGCTCAAGAAACTCGTTTCGTGAGCAAGAAACATGTTTCTTTCCAACAAAAAAATATTTTCACTAAATATCAACCAACATCGACAAACTTTTCGTCGCATACAATCAAGTTCCCAATATAAACCAATTCAACCCACAAATAACAACAATACTCAATCAAAAGTTTTTAGCAACTTCAACCTACAAACAACGATAAAACTCAATCATCCAAGTGTTCAAACTACAAAACCCAACATAAAACAAGTGAACAAACCATATTACTCAATCAAAAAGGCAAGAAAAATGAAGTTATGCACACATCCGTACATGCGGCTTACGTGCCAATCAAAAAGGCAATAAAAATGAACACAACAAATGAATTGTTGAGCTCATACAACATTTCCCAACAAGTACCAAATACCATATTTTTTTTTATCCGATACATTAAACAAAATTGCCATTAAATCGAAAGAGCCAATATACTACATCCACACTGAGTTTACATCATCACCATGAGATATTCAAACCCCAAACCAACAACCAAAAGAGGCCAAAATTAACAAAATTGGCCACACTATAAAAAAACATCCTAACATACAAAGCCATCTAACAAAACCTACGAAAACATATCGCTAACAACTTTCCTCCAACAAACCAGGTGCACCTACAATAATTTGAAACGATTAACAATTAGTTAAGGATAAAAAATCTCATAAATATATAAATGGGTGATTTTTTGGAAATTATTGAAAGTGGGTATTAGAATGCACTTGAAGTTGATTCAAAGAACTCTTCCAAATGTTTGCCTTGTTCTGGCCAGACAGATACCAACAAAATTAGGTGAAACATTAGGCTCATAAATTTTATCACTTACCCTAGTAAAACTTCCAGTTTATCAGTTGGCATGTCATTTACCAAGACAGTTAATAAAATATGATCAAATAATCATGGAGATTAAATATTCTTACACCTGAGGATTCAAGAAATCAAAGTATTTAAATGTACTAGAAACAAAAACAAAGGGGACAATGCTTATTTACCATTTTCATATTCTAAGGCTTGAAGTATCATCTCCACCTAAATAAAGAAACAATTAAAATGATTTGAGAACACGTGGAATTAGTACATAATCGAAGCACTTGTCAAATAAGAAAATGTAAAGTTAATAGTTTCAATATATAAAAAAAAATCAAAATGTAAATCATATACACAATGACTACAAAATGGAAGGTTCAACTTCTAACCCGGTATATTACTAAATTTAATAACTAGCTCCAGCTACCAAATACCAACAGATGATTGGTTAAAGTAATCCATAGTGCTTCACCTCTGTGTAAACAGCATATGCAGAAGTTGAATGGGGGTTTGTGCTTCATTTTATTCATAATTCCTGATCTCCTTCTCTCTCTCTCTCTCTGAACACATTCCAGATTAGTTCCATGTTGTTAGCTTCATAGATTTTAGCTTTGATTCACACTACAATTTGGTAGATTTTAAGCTATAGTCACCAATAAGAAAGTGGCAATAGTGATATCCTTTAAATTCTGAATTTTGAGCAACACATAACACTATAAGAGCTATCTTCCAGTTTCAAGTAATTCTATATGTATATTCATAATACATTACCTTGTCGAAGTCTTCTACAAGCTTAGCTTCCAATGAAGAATCTCTTCATACTCCATCCAAACATCACTGATCTCCTTGGGTACACGAAATATATACTATCAGCAGGCAAACAGGTAAAATGATAGACCACAATGTATAGTTCAACATGAAGGTATGTACTAGACTCTAAACTGGCTAGACTTGTTTTTCATGGGAATTTTACCGCTCTTCCAACTCTTTAAACCGGCTGGACTTTAACTCCAGTTCCTTCAGTTCAGTTGTTACCTCTGAGCATTGTTTCTCAGTTTCTGCAATTGCTGCTTCAAGTTTTTCGTTGTTCTTCTTCTTCTATCTTTCATTATAGAAGTTTTCGTCCCGACTCCATCAGCTTCAGGTTCACATTTATACACTGAAGCAGCCGGTGGAGGTAACACAACAAACGACTCGTCTATTACTTTCCCAGACTAGCTACTCTCTGGGCGATACTCGGAAATAACGTGCAGCCCGGCAGAGCCCGAGCTGACCCTGATCAGTACTGGGCTGACCCCGATCAGTCCCAGGAAGCACCCTAGCAAGGCCCGAACAGCAACAACAAAGCTTGGAAGCAGTCGCTTCAGGCCCAGACAAAAACAATATCTACAAGAGCAATTTTTCAGCAATTAAATAACACTAATCACACTTAAAGTGTGAAAAACCATAAACCAGAAAACGAAATGAACACTGCATATCCAACTAAAACCAGAAAAAAAAATCGAGAAACAAAATCAGGTCACACACCTTTCACACCACAACGTCGCACGAGCAAGCTCAACCAAACCCTTGGAATTGACATCGGGCTGAGTCGACTCGCACTGCTCCAACACTAATAACCCTCGTGCATACGATTCCGCTGAAAAATTTCACATTTTCAAGCCAATCAAACCCTACAAAACCGTACCTTGAGGGTCGATTTGATTCGGTTATCTGCAATCAAATCCTCTAACCAAAAATTTTGGAATGGATCCTCTAACCCTACAAAACCGTACCTTGAGGGTCGATTCGGTTCGGTTCCATACTTGAACTCAGGCACGGTTAGATTTCCACGGTTTTGGAAAATTTTATACCCAATCACACCCATCAAAATGAAGACTTCCACAGCTTCGCCATATAAAATGCTCCACCGTACGAATTCAAAAACATTCAAATTCGTTAAACCCGCGCTTGCATCTGAAGAACTCTCTAACCAAAAAATTCCCTCTCTCAACCGAAAATGCCTGAGTTCAAGTATGAATCCATTTCAATATTCACTTTGATTATCTGCAATCAAATCCTCTTTAGCTGACTGCTAATCTAGTTCTGGTTTTCTGCTTTTGAATTTTGAGCAACAGAGCTGAAGATCAGAGCCAGCTACAGCTCGTCGAAAGAGAAGAAATCGAAGATGAAGAAGAAATGTTCGAGGCGATTGATAAGCGTAAGGAAATCTTAACCCTCACTATGTTTATTGCGCGAATGAGATTTGGATTTTAGTATCATATTCGATTTTCTGTGGTTTGGCTCAATTTGATGTGCGATCCAGTTAAATCAGGAATTTATCTGATGGAATGATACATTTTCTCATTTGGATTCTGTTCTTCTAGCGGAAGTGTTCTGTTCATGATGATATTTGGCAAATTTGTTTACGTTTTTCTCCGAATATTCTCCTGATTTTGTGTGCAAAATCTGTAATGGTTCAAGTGCTGTAGCTTTTGTTGTTTATGGAAAACGAGTTCTCTGGATTCACATACAATAAATTAGTAATAGCATCAGGAAATGGGAAACTATGAAACCTTGTGTATGTTAATACATAGTTACTTGCAGTTCGTATCTGTATTTCATTTTCACTCTGAAATGAAATTCTCAATATCACTGTATGGAATTTAAGGAAAATGTTGCAATGTTCACCTGGAACTGGAAACCTAATCCAAAATCTTCATTACAATCTAACCCTGCCCGTTTCCGGACGAGAGTGGTGTTCTGTGAATACGTGTTCTGATAATGCTGTAGTATGCTTTAAGAACTACATTATTTTATCCAGTGACATCTCTTGGAATCAATGCTGGAGATGTGAAGAAGCTGCAGGATGCTGGCATTTATACATGCAATGGACTAATGATGCACACTAAGAAGGTGAAATTCTGAAATAGCCACCTTCTTACCTTTTGTATTGGTTGCAACAAGTTTTTGAGCTGCAATTTCCGTAAATTCTAAACAGAGTCTGACTGGCATCAAAGGACTGTCTGAGGCAAAAGTTGATAAGATATGTGAAGCTGTTGAAAAAATAGTGGTTAGTGATTTTACTTAATAATGGTTACTAAGAGAAATATATGATGCTTCGGTGTTTACTGACGCTGTTTGTTTTGCTTCCTTAAATTTGCAGAACTTTGGTTATATTACCGGAAGTGATGCTCTGTTGAAAGTGAGAATATTAGTTCCTTTTGATCTATTTAATGAAGCATGTGACTGATGGTTGCTTGGAGGCTGATACGTAAATATTATTGTTTGTTTAGAGGAAATCAGTCGTTCGCATCACAACTGGAAGCCAGTCTCTGGATGAGCTCTTAGGGGGTGAAACATTGATTTTTCTTGTTTTCTGTCATGACTTTATCGTCAAAGCATGCTCTTAACTCATTTATGCCCATGATGAAGGTGGGATAGAAACTTCGGCAATAACAGAAGCTTTTGGGGAATTCAGGTGGTATTGAAGTATTTTTTACACTGCCTTGATCAACTGTTTACAAACCTTTCTTTAGTTTCTTGCTGCTAATAAATTTGGGTGTTCTATACTCGTAACCAACATTTGATCCAGATCTGGAAAAACACAGCTGGCTCACACTCTGTGTGTGTCCACACAGGTGATATAATTGACAATATTCTGCCTATTTCTCATTTATGAAGGAAATGAAAACTAAACCACACACAACATCAACGCATAAACTGATTTCAACAGTCTCTGTATATGATCTGGATGGATTTCCTAATATGCAGCTTCCTACTAGCATGAAAGGAGGAAATGGAAAGGTCGCTTACATCGACACAGAAGGGACATTGTATCCTTTGCTGATTCTTCACTCCACGATCGAGTTTTTAGGATGTTACCTCACCCTTGGTGTGGTAAATCCATTTAGTCTCGTTTTCTTGTCTTTTTCTTTTGTTTTCCTTAAATCAGTTGAACTTGCAGCCGACCGGATCGAATCATACCCATTGCTGAAAGATTCGGAATGGATCCAGGAGCTGTGCTTGATAATGTAAAGCAGATATTTCCATTATTTCACTAATGTTGTGTTGATCAGATAATTCCTGGTATCTGTTTCTCATCTTTTTTTTTTTTTTTTTTTTTTTTTTTTTTTTTTTTGTCTTTCCTAATTTCTGAAAGATCATATATGCGCGTGCTTACACATATGAGCATCAGTACAACCTGCTTCTTGGTCTAGCAGCCAAAATGGCTGAGGAGCCTTTCCGGCTTCTGGTGAGCTCTTTCTGGCTAATAATGAAATCAGCCAATATCCGTAATACTATAATAGGTCCTGATATGTTTAGGCAATGTGCTTTCAGATTGTTGATTCAGTGATAGCCCTTTTCCGAGTCGACTTCACAGGAAGAGGAGAACTTGCAGAACGTCAGGTCTAGGCCATCACTGTCGAAATATTATAACTATTTGTTTAGAAGCTCTTAAGCCTTAAAGTAAATCTTAAGCTCTCTGCTGCTCTGTTTCAGCAAAAATTGGCCCAGATGCTCTCGAGGCTGATGAAGATTGCGGAGGAATTCAATGTGGCTGTTTACATGACCAACCAAGGTATGGTAGCTTTATTTATTGACTTCATTAGAATAACACGACTTGCATTTTTCCTGATCTAATAATTTTCCACATATTTTCCAATTAAAAAAAAAAAAAAAAAGTGAATGCTTGATTTTTCTCGATGATTTTGCAGTTATTGCTGACCCTGGAGGGGGTGTCTTCATTTCCGATCCAAAGAAACCAGCTGGGGGTCACGTCCTGGCCCATGCAGCCACCATAAGGCTCATGTTCAGGAAGGGCAAAGGCGAGCAACGTGTCTGCAAGGTGTTTGATGCCCCAAATCTCCCTGAAGCTGAAGCAATATCCTTATTTGTTCGTTTTTTGAATTAATTGGACTTCTCAATATTATTTTCGTACGCTGCTAACAAGTGGAAAAACAGTTCCAAACGGTGACTTCTGCATGCCTTTTAGTATTTTATCGGTATATTTCCTTAACAGAAGCAAGTTTTCCAGATAACTCCAGGTGGGATTGCGGATGCGAAGGATTAAATCGACTGCCATTTTATCTCTTCAAGCTTTTACTTACAGGAAAATGCAAGTACTAAAATTAGTATGCTCGACTGCTTCTTTAAAGTGTTGATGTCTTAGGCCGAAACAAAATTGGTTTAGCGTTACTGCGTTTTATGTTGCTTCTTCATACATTCGCCCAGAGGTTCATTTTATGCTTACACTGTCTGTCCCTAGCAGATTGAAAATTGAAATGTCTATTCCCTTGCCACAGGTTTCTACCTGAATATGTCAATCTGTGAAGAAAACACTATTATTTCCAACTAGTTTTACTTCAGTATCAATTGCGTGTGTGTAACGCCCCACTTTTATTTGCCAAAATTCAGGATAAATTTTTCGAATTTTATTC